TGTGGGAAGAGTGCAGCGTTACTTAGACGGCTCATTCTCCTTGAGACATTTCTTACGGTAGGAGCTACTAAGGCTTCTGGGATGAGGCGTGGCTTGAAAGAGAACACCATTTCTTCTTTCTGCCTGCACACTAGCCCCTTCCCTGGCCACCTCTTTTTTACTAATCCCCTGCCCCTACAATTCTGGTGCTACAGTAGTAATATCACTCAGTTGCTCAGTACTCCAATTTCAAGGAAGCACACCATCAGAAACATTAGTAATACAAATAATACTTCTCCTAGCCACAACATGTTCTCCCTCGTCATCTGCAAAGTCTAGTAAGACTGAAGACTTTCACCTGTTGGGAAATTAACATGGTCATTAACTCAAAAAGCTGTCATGTCCCTTTTCATCTAGAATCCTGCAGACCCTCATCCTAGTAGAGCCAGCAAACCCTGCATGCTATTGCAGGTCACCGAACTTTTCTACTCTGGGGCTAAGCACATTCTTACTATAGTTTGCTTGAATATTTATTAACCATGTCACAAACATAATGTCTTAGTGGTTTTGTTTTTCTGTAACAGAATGTCACAGAGTGGGTCACTGTGACAAGTAGAAATTCATTAGCATTTAGTGTTGGAGGCTCAGTATCAAGGTGAGGGCCTTTGTGTTGAGTTGTTTCATGGTGAAACACGATATCACTGAGCTCAGGAGAGAGGGACAACCATGTGATACGTATACTCTGTGAAGGGGGAGCCCTCATGACCCAAACACTTCCTATGAGAGCCCAGTTTGGGCTGGATGCATAGCTCAGTGGTGGAGCCTCATAGGCACAGACCTTGGGTTCAATACCCAGCACTTCAAACCTAAACCAAACCAAATGCCAACTGAACCTCACCTCCAACTTTGCTTCATTAGGAACCATGCTTCCAGTATCCAGAGTATGAACTCTGCATTTAGTATTGAAGTTTCCCAAGAAGATCTTTGCAACCTTTTCACTTAAAAGAAAAGTTCTTGTTTAGTGTGCTCCAGGAAGCTGAAGAGGATACTTGCTTAGGACGTGACCAAAGCAATTGGTTCTAAATGCAAAAGAGGGCAGATGCCATTTCTTCCCCACAGACTGGGCTTTGGAGGTCCTCATAGGAGTCTTTCATTAATGTGGAGGGAAAAAAGATGAAATCAGGGAAGCGACTCCAGAACCTGAGTGAATGATGCCCATAAACTCCTCCCTCCCTGCCTCCCTCCCTTCCGCTCTCCTCCCTCCCTCCCTGCTTCCCTCCCTCCTTTCCTCCCTCTCTCCCTCCCTCCATGCCTCCTTCCCTCCCTCCCTGCCTTCCTCCCTCTCTCCCTCCCTCCCTCTCTCTCCTCTCCTTCCCTCCCAGTCTTCCTTCCTCCTTCCCCCTCCCTCCCTCCCTCCCTCTCCCATCCCTCCCTCCCTCCCTCCCTCTCCCCTCCCTCCCTCCCTGCCTCCCTCCCTCCCTCTCTCTCCCCTCCCTCCCTCCCTCCCTCTCTCTCCCCTCCCTCCCTCCCTCCCTCTCTCTCCCCTCCCTCCCTCCTGGCCTGACCTCCCTTCCTCCTTCCCCCTCCATCTTTCCCTCCTTCCATGACTTCCTTTCTTCTTTCCTTTCTATCCACCTCCCCCCCGGCTCCCCTCTATGGTGTCTCACTGTAGCCCAGGCTGGCCTGGAATTCACTGATGTAGCCCAGGTCCATCATGGACTATAGTTGACTCCTTTAGTCTGCCACCCTCATTTGGGGATTGCAGGCATGTAACATCATGTCAGGCATCACTGGAGGAATTCCAGTTGGTCTACCCCTGTTCTCAGAAGTAGCTCTTGTACTTTTCCAGGGGGTATTTTCAGGATTCAGGATGTCCTGACTTCCACAAAGACATGGGAGATTGTCACTAGCAATTCAAATGTGATAATACAGTATTAAAAAACATGTACCACTTCTTCATTTTGAAGATGTCTATTAAAATAAATGGCTATGGTCTTATGGACAGTTTAAGATACAGTTAAGTTTTCATTACCTACAGGAGACTTCAGGCTATTTAAAGCTCCTTGTTGGAAGCAAAGAAGAAACCGCATTCTCAGAATCAAAACCGCCAGGTGTACAAAACACACAATAGGATGGTGACTAAGAAAAGTCTCAGGGACAGGTATGGGATGTCATGTATTAGTTTGACAATTCTGTTGAAGTTATTTTAGGGGGCTCTGTTTGTGGTGAATCTTGGAGCCCACCTGCTCACTTAGCTTCCCGGCGATTCCATTTTGAGCATAGCTGAACTTTCTCTTATTTTCTCCCATTGGTGCCAACCTCCTCCTAGCTGCTCGCATTCATTCAAGCTATTGGAGCTTTCTGCTCCAGAGTGCATAGGTCTTTACATCCTCCTTCCCTCCACCCCCTGCAGACTCAGCCCAGAGAAGGCAATTGTCTGCCTTAGTCCTTTCAAGTGTGCCTACCTCAGGGGCCTATGGGAAGAGTCTGGTGTTAGGGACCTTGAGGTTGCTAGGTGATTCTGCATCATTTGAGAACTGTCACCGTAGAATCTTTCAAACTGTACTCTAGAGGAGGCTGGCAGTATTCCTTAGCTCTAACTCCCCCTTTGGGTGTCCACAATGAGAGTTAGCAAACAGATTAAAGGCTCTGAGAAGTCCTGAGTATAGCAGCAACGCTAAGTGTAAGTGTGTACTAGCACACACAGCCAGTGCAGGTGCCTCTGCCTGGGCCAGGCTCTTGTAGGTTCAGCGAGTCTATTTACTCTCTAGCCCTCTTCTTATAGGAGAAGCACATCATCCAGGCTGGCTTTGAGCCTTAAGAGTTTTGCTTTTTGCTATGTGTGACTTTCCCACTAAGCTCCATTAAGCTCCCACCATCTTTTACCCAGTTGTTTGCTTTAACTATGCAGTCCAAATGTTGGATTCTTCTTCATTATCAGAATATAGGGACCCTCTGCCATGTGTGTATCTATGTCTCTCTCTCTCTCTCTCTCTCTCTCTCTCTCTCTCTCTCTCTCTCTCTCTGTGTGTGTGTGTGTGTGTGTATGTCTGTGTAATCGGTAGAGAGCTGGAATGGAAAATGATAAATGAATCAACTCTGCCAGTCTTCAATGCAGACCAGACATCTATTCCCGGTCTCTCTTTGCAGCTCCATTGTCTACATTAAAGGTGGAACCAGTGTCTGGTTGTGATGATGGTGGGGAAGAGAAATTCAGTTCCCTGCAAGGGATGTCTAATCAGTTCTTCCTCACACGCTTGACACCTCATGTTTCACAGTGAGGTGCAGGGCACAGTTGCCTAGTGCTGAGGTGGCCCTGGGCCATGGTGAGGACGCAGTGTGCCCCTGGCACTACAAAGAGTGTCCCCCAGACTCATGTTATCTCATTCATGTTGATACTTTCTTCTCCCTTCCTGTCCCCATACCAGCATTTGTCTCTGAAGGTCCTCCTCTTGTCTCCGGTCCAGCTACTTCTCAAGTCTTAGAAGTCATCAAGACTTGGGTAGACCACCACTTGCCTTGTTTCTGTCATTCCTGCAGGCAAGCAGAAGGGGACAGGAAAGGCCCTGGCTCCTAACTCCTCCACCTTTCTCTGTACCCCTCTCTGTATGTGGGAGTCACCCGCAACAACCTATGCAGAACATATGCAGGACGTCTTGCTTCTCTTCTGTTTGAATGACTCTTGATCTTTGGCATTGGAGGTTGAGCTGCCTGCCAACACCCAGTGTCAGCAAAGCCTTGGTGTCTCACTGTGCAAAATGAGTGCATGCCTACTTGGGTTGCAATGGCAAAAGCCTCCTGTCCCACTTACCTGTTTCTGAATAGCAAATGGGTTTAAAGCTTACATTTATAAATACTTTATATAGTTAGATTGATCATATATTTGTGACCCAAGAAGTGGTCAGCAGGCCCTGGCATTGCCCCCACAACCTCAGCTGCTGAAGAGTATGGTCTTAGCATGGAGGCTTGTCCCAAATGGTGGCCTCAGGTACATTCCCTCTCTCATGTGATGTCCCAAGATTCCAACAGTGTGTTTTCTGGTAGGTCAAGGCAGAAGCTGTGAGTTTTATGAGCTAGCCTCATGTGCCAGCCCCTGTCATTTCTGCCATATTTCACTGGCTACTGAAGACAAACCCTGATCCAGTGTGTGGGGAAGCAACTTTAAGAGACTATCAGGAGGCAAAGGTCGATGGAGAGACTGCCTGGGAGTCGGATGCCATATCTTCCTTCTATTCAACTTGAAAAGGCAAGCTGATATTAAAATTCAAGCTGGGTACCCCTGTACCAGAAGCTTGCCGTGGACATGAGATCAATGAGGAGAGGACAAGGCACACATGTTTTACATTCCTTCCAGTCACTAGGTTGTCTTGACTAAATGGAAAATTGATTGGAGGCGGAGAGTGTCTGCCCTGGGTGTTGAGTTTTTACAAAAGGAGGCCATGTGATTCACCCATGCTCCCAAAGGTTTTGAGTCTATGAACCTGCTTTAACAAGTGGTGCTTGATGAAGATGGAACTGGATGCTGGCTAGAGAATGGGAGTCAGGCATCCGGGCTACTATGAGACCATCTGTTGCCATAGCTTAGCTCCTGACTTCACTCTGGACAGTAACGGACATGTTAAACAGACAGATGATTCTTTGGTCTAAGGAGTGAGGCTGACAAGCCCTGGATGTAGTCATCTAAGTCTTCAAAACAGAAAAAAAAGCAAAGCAAAACATTGGCGTTTGAGGGTCTGGGTTGTGGTCCAGTTGGCAGAGTGACTGCCTAGCATGCCTGAAACCCTGTGTTCAGTCCCCAGGGTTGCGTGCACAGGGGTGGGGATGGTGGGTGGTGGTGGTGGGTGGGGGTGGTGGTGCATTCCTGCAGTCCCAACACTGTGGAAGCAGGGGCAGCAGGATCAAAGTTCAAGATCATCCCCAGTTATGCAGTGAGTTTGAGGCTAGCCTAGGCTAGACGTCCTTTCTCAAATGGACGAGACAAATCACAGAGCAAAGCAAAGCAGAACCAAGTCAAAACCCAATGGCTCTAATGATTTTATTGCTCAGTGGCAAAATAAATCAAAGCAACATTGATTTCAAAGTCACTGTGAATCACATTGAAGTATGTCAGTGACTGCTAGGAAGCAGGTCTGAATGCTGGGACCGGGCTTGGGAGGAAGGCATCGCAGTGTGGTCTGTTCTTGTAAACATCGGTACAGGTAGAGAGCAGTTTACCTAGGCGATGGGAGCTAAGCTCCAGCTCCTTCTGTTTGCACAGAGAGGAAGCATCACAAGCGAGTTTCCACTTCTCACCTGCCAGGCTGGAAATACCGGCCTAGAGAAGAATGGATTCTAACCTGGCTACATTTATTCTAAGATGTTTTTCTCAGTGACGCTTCCTGGTCCTTGCTTCCCTGCATGGTGGACTCATCCTTCACAACCAAGTCCTACGGGCTGCACAAGGGAAGAAATGATGCTCCTAGATACAGAGGGTATGAAATGGAAATGGAGACTCTCGGCTACTTCCCGTTCTCAGCCCCACTCGCTTTGGAAACAATCGCCCCATCTGAAAGGACTGTACAATCCCAATACACAAAGACTCGTCCCCTGTCCTCACTCCCACTTCTTGCTGCTGCTTGATTCTGTGCCTCTGACTTTGCTCTGTCACCTCTGTGAGTCACCGAAGTAGCAAGGACTCCCTGATAAGCAATCTGTAGGTTAGTCAGATCTTTGCACTTGGTACCGTGTCAGTTCAGCCCTGCCTAGGACATGCTCCAAGGACTGAAGAGAAAGAAAGAACAATCCTGCCAGCAGAATCACAACTGAGCCGGAGCTGGAGTGAGGCCTCGGGTGTTGGGAACTGGGAGGTTGGCCTTCTTGATTCTCTGCAGGAGTCATGATGTTGACTGGCCGGCACTGGGGACAACAATCTGGAACCAGAGTAACACTTGGCTGCTCACATCCAAACGTCTCACCAGGACCACACCGTGACCTGGAGCATACTCCAGCCTCACACAGGTGGGCACAGGGAGGGAGCTGAGTCCTGGGGCAGCCTTGGCTACAGCCCACATACTGCCCCCACCCCTGGCTGCCCTCAGCGCTGGGATGCTGCTCTCCGGCAGCCTGGGTGTGCTTGCCAAGGGCCTGCTTCCAGATCGCTAGCACGGTCTCAGATCTTCTGGTCTCCCTGTTTCCTGGGCACTCGCCAGTGCAGCTGCTCGTCTGGGTGGGCACAGTGAGATCAGTAGAGCTGGCCCCCTGCATTCGGAGGGACCGCCACAGTCACACGGTGACCAGCACATCCAGTGGGACAAGGCCTCTCTTCTTCCCACTGAGGACTCTGACGAAGCCGTCCTGTTCTTCCTCGGAGGTCACACAGATCTGGGTGCCGGGGGAGAGAGAGGGGAAAGGCTTCAGTTTGGCAGGAGCAAGTGGGGATGTACAGTGTGAGTTGCTGTACAGGAAGATCCGGCTGGGAAAGGACAGGTGGTTCGGGAGGGGACGTCGTGGGGGGCACCGTGAGGAAATGCTTAATGAAACATTGCATGCAAACCTTGTTTGGAAACAGGTCCAGATGCAGAATATTTACTGGGCTCCAGGATTAACAAAATGGCGTTAAGTGCTGTGACTCCCTGAAGAGTCGCCGTAAGGAGAGAATGGCAAAAATGTCTCATAGAACTGGCATGAGGCATGCAAGCATTTGGTATATTATGGTGAAAATCCAAAATAATAGCTGTTACTGTTTCACGTTCAGTGCTTGGAATTTTATATGTGAATTGTCTAGCACTAGGAAACCAAGACACAATTTCATTACTAGCTCTGGGCAAATAAGCATGAAGATCTCTCATAGTCTAGAGCAGGCACCAGTGCGAGACTTCAAAGGAGATCATGAAAATCCATTCGGGTGCCCTTGTCACTCACTGTTCACAGGCCAGTGAAGGGCAGAGAAGGGGATGAGGCCAGATGTGTGAAGAGGTTTCTGGGAAGGGCAACTCTGCTTTCCCCCTCAGGAACCACCGCCACAGTTGAAAGTTGTGCCTTAGTATGTATTTCCTTGACACAGTCTGAGGCAATGTCCCAAGAGCTACATTGCAAGTGGTTGATTTTTAAAGGCCGAGGTTTGCTTTTGTCCCCAGAAACAGTGGCACACATACACATTATCCCAGGACTTGGAAGTGAGAGGCAGAACTAGGGGCTCAAAGGCCAGCCTTGGTACATAGTGAGTTAGAGACCAGCCTGGGCTACATGATACCTTGCTCAAAAAAACTAAAATCAGAACAAACAGAAATTAAAAGAAACATAACATGTTTCTTGTTAATGTTGGAGACAGCCTGAGGACAGTTGTGCATATTGGGAGTAGCTGGGAAGTCAGACGTTCCGTGAACAGTTCTTAGAGGGATGAGTAAGAAGACAGCAATAATTGTTGTCTGTCTTAGGAGTAGTACTCATTAAACTGAAAACATAAAGCACACACACACACACACACACACACACACACACACACCCTTGACCTAGACTGGGGGGTGATCAAGACCTTGAAGAAGTGACATTTAAGCATTGACGAATAAACATGAATAACAATTCAACTGACAAAGTTCAGTGCAAGGGGCCAGGAGGTGTGGTAGTGTATACCTGCAATCTTAGCAGCAGAGGCAGGTGGATCTGTGAGTTTGAGACCAGTCTGGTCTACAGAGAGAGTTCCAGAACAGCCAGGGCTACACAGGAAGACCCTGACTCAGACAAACAGACAGGCAGACAGACAGACAGACAGACAGAGTGCAGTGAGGTCAGGACAGAGGTGGAGGGGTGAATGGTGGAAGAGAGAGGTGGAGAGTACTGTCAAGGCCTGGAACATACTGGAAATACAGGTCATGCTAAGCCCTGCTAGGTCCCTCAGCTCACTCTCTGACTCTTGTCTCAGTGGCTAGAACCGGGCCAGGGTCAACCACTAAACAATCATCGACAGTAGAAGGGGACCAGCTTGCTCAGCTTCGAATTGCCTGGGTCACATGGGATGTAGGCGGGTCACAAAAGCAAGGCTCGATGCCGTGCATCACAGCTGAAGGGCGGATTTGACACCTGGCAGAAGCTAAGGGTTTCCAGTTGACAACTGACGTGGTCAGGCTTACTGAAAACGGTAATTTCTCGATTCTCTTCTATCCCTTTCCACATCCCTTTTCTTCCCTTCCCTTCTGCGCTCTCCGTACCCTTTCTCTTCTAGCCAGAAGACTTCTCAAGGCCTGGATACATTTTCTCCCTGACCAAGCCAGTGCAGTTACTGCTGGGGCAGAGCAGGCCTGGCACAATTCACTCTGGTGCAATTCACTCTGATGAGGGACACCCTGCCCCTACACAATGCATGACTTCAGCCATCCAGCCAGGCTATGACTTGACCCTTTGTAATATGGGGCGAGACTGTTTATGCTCTCCTAATTTCAATAATTAATCTCCTTCCCAGTGTCTTCCAGAGCACAGACTCTTTTCTGGGTTGGAGGCTCCTATTTTGGACTTAAACTAAACTCCTAATCCCTTAGCCTTTTGTGGCAGTCGCCATCATTGTCATCACCATCATCTTTTAAAAAATGTACTATTTTAGTTTTATTTATTTACTTTTATTTTATGTGTATGTTTTGCCTGTGTGTATGTATGTGCACCACTTGTGTTCCTGGGGCCCACAGAGGTCAGAAGAGGGTGCTTGATCCCCTGGAACTGGAGTTAAAATACAATCAGGATAGGCCATGTAGGTGCTGGGAATTGAACCCAGGTCCTCTGGAAGAGCAGCAAGTGCTCTTACCCACAGAGGTACATGTGTGTACATATGTGTGTATCTCTGTGAACACAAGTATAGGTGACCATGGATGCCAGAGGCGTCAGATCCCCTGGAGCTGGAGTTACAGGAAGTTGTGAGCTTCCTGATGTGGGTGCTGGATCTGAACTCCAATCTTCCGCAAGAGCAGAACGCACTCTTAAACACTCTCTACAGGCCTCACCACCATCATTTTCAGGCCATGCATCTGTGCTTCCTCCCTGGGTTTCTAATCTAGTGGAGCTTTGTTGGACTTAGACTAGTGTATCCAATGTTTCAAGGAGGATGCACCCTGTAGTCATGGCTTCCTCTAATGGGACACAGGTTCAGGAAACAAGACAGATGGAGTACCTGCCAACAGACTTTGGGGAAGGTGTTTCCTGCTCCACAATGAGGTATACTCAGAATAGTCCTTCCACTGTCTGAAAGTGACTTGTTAAGTGTCTGTGGGCATCTGTGACCTGTAGTGGGAGGTGGAGGAATGTTGATTCTGGAGACCCTAGTGGAGGAAGATGAAGGAATTTAGATCACTGCTCATGGAATCGAGTCAACCCTCAAAGCACACTACAGCAGAGCCTCATTGTGCACCTTGAACAAAAATTATGAGGTTGAGTCAAATTAGTTTCCTAACTTGTGATGCGCATGTTTCCTGTTGCACATAACACACTGTGGCATAAAGTGACAATAACCTATTGCATTGCGGTTCTTAGGGCTGATGGCATAGGACTTGATAGCTTTTTTTTCTGTTTAAAGAGTTCCAAGGTCCAAGTTCAAGGTTAAGGAGGGCAAAGGATTCTGTCTTCTTTCTTTTCTATCTCTCCAGTTGTGAATTCAGTTCAAGGTGCACTGATGTTGCTCCTGGTGGTTATGGGGCTGGGCTGTCACTTCCTTACTGTCTCCCAGGGGCCACTCTCAGTTTGCTGATGCCAGTTGCACTGGGCGTCTGTTCTCCATCTTTAGATAAAAAAACAACAAAACAAAACCCAGTGGGTCGAGTCATTCTTGGAGTTTGTCTCGCGTGGACCTGCCCTTCTGGTGCATTTCTTCCCCGCCTTCTGTGGCTGCTTCTCCCTGGTTTAGCAGGTTGCATTTCTGTGCTTTTGGGGCTCACATGAGTATATTTGGCCTTCATCACATCTGCCAAGAGCATTTTGCATAATATCTGGACTAGCGTCCAGTGCTATAACCAGACATCACAGGTTTAATGGCTCAGGACAATACGCCTTTTTCCCCCCACAGTGCACAACATCAGAGGTCTTAAAGTCCAGCTGTCTTTCAGGATGGAACCTCTTCCTCAGATCTCAGAGGAGATGCATTTCGCTATTCTCTGTAGCTCCCAGAGTCCCCCTGCTTCCCTCAGCTCACAGCCTCACCTCCTGTCTTCTAGGCCAGCACCACGGCGTCTTCAGGTCTCTTTGACTTCTATCCTCATCTTTTTTCTGACTCTGACATACTGATTTCCTCCTAGAACTTCTGCATTTACACTTATGCCACTGAGATAATGCAGCACAGTGTTCCCTGACAAGAGCCTTAACCATATCTACATGGTTCTTTTTTTTTTGACATATAAAATAAGATGCTCAAGGGTTGGGGCATTAGGGCAGAAGCAACTTTGGGGAACTGTTGTCTGTTCTATATAATGAAAGCCTTGGAAATATGCAGGCAGTCTGCTTATGTATGGAGGGTGACACTCTTTGGTGTAGCTGAAGATTCGTTCTTGATGTTGTAGTGTAGAATCTCTTGAGGTGTAGAGATGATGTCACGGGACTCAAAGGAATACAATATAGAGGCAAGGAGACTGGAGAAAATTCTACAAGGAAATAAAGTCTGCATGGAAGCCACTGGGTCCGTCACTTTTCCCACTGCTGTGACAAGATACTCGGCAAAAGCAGCACAAGGAAGGAAGGCAAGGTTTGTTTTGGCTCACAGCTCTGTAGACTCAACCATGGCGGGGAAAACATGGTGGTGGGAGCCTGAGGTGGTTGTGTCCTCAGTCAGTAAGCGGAAGTAGATGGATGCTGGCACTCTATTTTCTCTCTTCTCTTTATTCATCCAGGATCCAAGTCCACGGGATGGAGCTGCCCACACCCAGGGTGTGTTTTCTGTCCACAGTTTAGGAAACTTTCTCACAGACACTCCCATAAGTGTGTCTAAGGTGACTCTAAATCCCATCAGGTTGACTGTCAAGATTTATCATTCCATCCACATAAGAAACAGTGAAAAAGTAACTTGAAACTTAGAGAAATTTAAGTAAGATGGGAAAAAAACTAAAGACATCCTCTTAGGAAGAAAAAAGAAGAAACAAGTGAAAGACGTATAAAACCTGTAAGGGATTTATGGTGAAATAGAGCTGCACCAGCAAAAGGATTAAGTTACAAACTGAAGACATAGTAAGCTAAGTTGGGAAAGATATTGGTCACATATCACAGTTCATGTGTAATTATTTCTTATGCTCTCTTGAAAGCATAAGAAAATATGCAAAACACAAAGTAATTATGCAATTGCCCCATAGGTCTGTGATAAAATTACAACCTCTTTTCTATTCAGTCAAAGCAGAATAACATAAACTATTATTTACCTCTCTAACTTGATAGGCATCAAAAGCTAGTCATATTTCATTATGGCAAGAATATGGCGACCTGGATATTCCTGTAATCAACAGGGGTGGGTACAGATAGGGACAGGCTTTGTGGAGGCAGTTTGGCATATATCAATAACTGTAAATGTCTTTTAGGTGGGGCTGGTCACAGCAATCACTGACAAACCTCACAACCCGAGTATTATCCTGGAGACACACATGATAGAAGGAGAGAATCAGCTTCCCCAGGTTATTCTCTAACCTCCACATCCATGCTGTGGCATCCATACATGCACACACCACATGCATACACACATGTATACACACACTCACAAATCAATAAGTATACAAAAGTCTCATTCCATTTTCCTATAAATTCTAAAGTCTGACTTGAGGAAATAATCAGAGTTAGATGTAATTTTAATGTTGTTCATTGTAGTCATCAATAATAGTTAAAATAAAAAAAATGTCTTGACTATCCAGGAACAGCTGATATTTCAACACATTTTTGTATATCTAGACTAGAGTTAGCAAACTTTGTTCTGTAAATGGTAGGCTTGCAGGCCATGCCATATCTGTTGTAGTGGCTTAACCCAACCATTATAGGGTTAGAAATGATAGAGAAATCTATACACGTACATGGATGTAAATACACATGTAATTATTTCTTATAAATGTATGTGTGTTTGTATTTGTGTGTGTGATGCTAACACAGAACATGGAGACTATTAGGCAGACATTCTGTCCCCAGCTCCAGTGTAGACATTCTAAAAAGTTATTTAAAAACAGAATTAGGACTGAGATGACTCAGTGCTTAATAACTCATATTTGTTTTGGGTCCTACAACCCATTATCGGCCAACACAATTGCCCATAACTCTAGCTCCAAGAGATAGGATGCTCCCTTCTTCCTGGCTTCCATGAGCACTATGCTCATGCATGTACCAACACATGCATAAAAATAATTAAAAATAAAAGTAAAATCCTAAACCTTATATAATAAAAACTATAAATTACCAGATTTGACCAATGTGCCTAAGTTTGCCATTCTGATGTATGTACAACTGTTAAAAACTATATTTTGATGAAACTAAGTAGAACTAAATAAAATATGATATTAAATTATACATTCAAAGGAAAGCTTGGCATGAAATATGTCAAAGATTTTTTTTTGTTTTATGAGACAGGGTTTCTCTGTATTGTTTTGGAGGCTGTCGGTCCAGCCCGGCCTTGAACTCACAGAGATCTGCCTGCCTCTGCCTCCCGAGTGCTGGGATTAAAGGCATGCGCCACCACTGCCCAGCAAAATATGTCAAAGATTTTAATGCTAACAATAACTTAATGGTAGAATTGCTGTGGTTGCTATTTTCTTCTATCTTTAAAATATCATTTTCTAAATCTCCATATAGTAAACAAATTTCAGTTTTATAATCTAAAAATAATTTCTGGTTTAATTTTTTTGCAAGAACACAAGGAATCCTTAAAACATTTCTACAGCTATGACAAAACCATGGATGACATTATAAAAATGTTTCAAAGGAATGTAAAGCTGATTAAGGAGGATTCTTTTTAAGTTTAAAAAATGAAGAAACTTTATCCTGTTAAGGAGAATCCTACGTGTTCATAATGGATAACTTAATTCCATCTGGAAACAAGTGCTCTGTGGATAAACAATGTAATCATTATGAACGATTAACCTCAGAAATAGAAATGTGATTTAATAAAAAAGCATTGCATTTATTTTCAGAATCAATTTTCTCCTATTCCTCTGTTAATGGCCACTTGTCTCTTCATGTTTTTAGAGTTATAAATATCACACTGGCTATTTTGGGGCTCACGGGGTACCTTTCACTGGTGTTTACCAGTGCAGATGAAGTCCTCATTGGGACCTGCTCTGAGTTATGATGGTGGGGAGTAATTTTTGTTAAACACCTGTGGTACCCAGGTACCATGCTGTCCCTATACAGGCGGCCACACTGAACTCTCAGGTCTATATCAGGGAGATGCTACTATACTGATTTTTTAGGTCACATTTAGAGGTGATTATCAAAACCACACTTGATACAGACCCATTTCTACATGACTTTGGCATCAATGACCAGATCGTCCTGTGTGTGTGTGTGTGTGTGTGTGTGTGTGTGTGTGTTTGTGTGTGAGAGAAACTTAGTAACTCTCTTTGAAGGTAATTCCCCCAAATGGGGGAGGAAATGGCTCAGTGGTTAAGAGCACTGCCTGTTCTTCCAGAGGACTCAGGTTCAATCCCCGGCACCCCATGTTTGACACACAACTGTCTATAACTCCAGATCACAGGAGCTAATGCCTCATGTGGCCTTCACAGCCCCTGGCATGCATGTGGGTGCACAGATGTCTATGCAGGCACAGTCTCCACACACACAAGATAGAATAATAAAATTAAATAAATGGCATCCAGGGTACGTTTGGGGCAACTGTATTGAACAGGCATTAAATTATGAATGCTTGTTTTAAATTCTTTACTTTCTTGTAGACTGAGCCTTATAATTTCCACATTTTCAACTAGAGACACTCATTTTCTTGAGAATTGCTGGAATTACTATATATCAAGAATGTAGAAAGAGGCCAATTTCTGACTTTCCAGACTGAAAATTGCAATTAACTGTGAGACTTCATGGAGAAAGACAGGAAATTTCTAACTCTGGTCCCTCACAACCTCCTCTAACTTATCCAGAGAAATCTTGGAGACTTGAGCACGTCATTTTTCCCTGTAGTGAAGAAGGACAGCCCCTCTGTGCTGGAAGGAGACACAGAGGAACAGGACACGGCTGAGCTTTGTTTTGATCTGCATTCCAGAGCAGAGCTAAGGAATCCATAAAGAAGGAAGTAGTTGAAGGTCATTATAGATGGAGAGGACTCAGGAAAACAGATAACCTCACAGGACAGGTTATTCAACACAGCACTGAGCAAAAAGGAACAGAAACTTATAAATGAGAGCAGGGAGATGCCAAAGTCTCTGCCCTAGATGGTTTCCAGTCTGTGCTTTGTCCTTTAGGGGACACATAGAGAGGCTTGGAGTCTTGATGAGGTGATCTGAGAGGGTTCCATGTGATTAGAGCCAGCACACCAAGCCCTGGAGCATGGTAGCACACAATGACAAAGTTTTCCCATTAGGTGATGACACATTGGTGGGCCCAAGCCCAGTGACGTGCGGTCCTCAGACCCAAGTTCAGGGGTGAGATGCTCTCTTATGACTCTGACATCATATATGCTTCTTCTCAGACAGATAGCACTAAGTATCTGTGTTTGAATGAGAAATGTCCCCTGCAGTATTTGGGGGACGTTATGGAACCTTTAGGAGGTGAAGTCACTAGGGCGGGCTTTGAGGTTTTATAATTTATTCCCATTTCCTGTTCTCTCTCTCCCTCGCAGCACCCCCCCGTCCTTCCTATGTTTGAATGAAATGATGAAATGTGATCACCCAGCTTCCGGGCCCTGTTGTCATGCTTTCTTTGCCTGTTGCCATGCCTTCCCAGCCACTATGGACTCTAACTTTCTGAAAAATAAATCCTCTCCTCCCTAAATTACTTTGAGTTGTGGTGCTCTATCACAACGATAAAAGTGAGTTTAAACAGCAAGTTTCCTGACCTTTGGCTTTGTGTGTTGGATCCCACCCCCACACCACTGGCACAAGGACATCTTTTCTCAAACGGCACACTTGGTCCCCCCTTTGTCCCAGCCTGTGTGTGCGTGGTGCCATTTGTGTACTTTGCTTACCTGGTTCTCTTTCAGTGTTATCTGTCCCTGGTCCTTGCAGCCAATGAAGGTTCTAACACACCTATAAATCTTCTCATGCTGTTCTACTCTCTGAACAAAGTTGGCTGGAAAGAAACCAACCCTGTCCCGAATCTTTCCCTGAAATGGAAGAGAAGGCATTCAGCGGCAAATACATCGTTTACTGTCATCGCCGCAGGGTTCTTATTTCTTTTTAAAGACCGAAATACCTACTTTCCACCAGTCTTCGTTGGAGTCTTCTAGAAGAGTAATCATGTCTCCTGGCCTAGAAATGAAGAATGGATGAGTTGGGTGGGGAAGTAAAATGAGGAAGGGAAAGTAGACTTTAATTCGAGATAGTTTTTCACCCACTCTAACAAATTCTAACATAAATAGAAATAAAACACAAACAATTTCACTGACTCTTCCCTTCTAAGAAAATGGAAAGCAAGTGTAATTTCTGTGCCTTTTTAAAAAAATGGTGATTATCTTTACTTTTAGTACACAAAGATCATATTTACCTTTCAAAAACGCCCAGATTCAATAAGTATCAAGGTGTATTTTGCCGAGTCTTGAATCTTCCCTATGTCCTACCAGATTTCCCCACACATCTCTGTGTAGATAGGCCTGTATTTTGCTTTTATATTATTGTCTAGAACTTACATCTAAAGGCAGTCACACTCTTTATTATTATATTTATTAGTGATGGTTTTTCACTGTCACCTTGATTGGATTAAAAACACACAGGCAGGATTGGAGAGATGGTTCAGTGGTTATGAACACAGGCTGTTCTTCTGGGTTCAATTCCCTGTACCCACATGGCAGCTCACAACTGTCTATGACTTAAGGTCCAGGGGATCCAACACCCTCACACAGACATACATGCAGGCAAAACATAATTGCATATGAACTAAAAATAAATTTTAAAAAGGAACACAGGGCGTTGGTGTGGCAAGGTTTCATGTATGTTGGCCAGACTGGTCTCACACTTAATATTTATCTGAGGATGAGGAAAGGTCACATTTTCACTCTTGTTTCTTAATTGACCAATTCCATCCTAATGTCACTCCAGACATGAGATGGAGTAGTAGGCTCCACACCTGTGAGAGATGGTGCGGTATCTCAAGCTGAGGAGCACAGACCCAGGGAGGGAGGAACTTAGAGCTGCCAATGGGACATGCTCTGCAGAGCCAGCCTCAAGCACCAGGGATTTTGCCCAGTTTTGAATTTACTCCTATTCCTAGGGATTTACACTTTTTTGAGTACAAATATTTACTTTTTAAGACCTGATACTACATTGTTGCCCAGGCTGGCCTGGGACTCACTTTGTAGCCCAGGCTTGTCTTGAACTTGCTGCAATCCCCCGACTTTAGGCTCTTGGTGCCAGGATGCGAGGCTGTGCCACGATGGCCTGCCATCACTTTTTCACCCTGCCTGGGTTTGCTGCTCCCAGCCAAGAATTTCCCAGGGTTCCTCCTCTCCTGGCGGTCTTTCTTTTTGTTTGTATGGTATCAGAAGCACTCTTCAGGAAACTCATTTTTGATACTCTTGGGTGCTGGGACAAGGGCAGAACAGGTTTGTTTCTGTGCCTACTTTATTCTGATTCAGCCTCTTTTGCTGTCAGTGCCAAGTCTCAGTTAACTATTTCAACCTGGGATTCCCAGAGACTTACAGTGTTACTGACATCTAAGCATCCCTCCCTGATGCTCCATGGAAAACTCTGGAGACAGAGATCAGTGGAAGGCATCAGATTTATTCAAGGGAAGCAGAGAAGACGCCTGCCAAGGATCTCTGTCTTGGGAAGGCTCAGGGATGTGAAGGGCTTTTATGGAACTCCAAGTGGCCGTGGTGAAGCAGTGGGCGGGGACTGTCTATGCTGGGTGGGCTCTTTTTCTCCAGAGCTCTCCTCCCTCTCTCTGCTCCTCTTGTCTTCCCTCCTCCTCTTCTTCCTCACTCTCCCCCTCCCCCATTCCTTATCCTCCTCTTCTTTTGTGTGTTGCATGTGTGCATGTCTGACATATGTATGCATGAGTGGCTGCCATGGCAAGTGCATTGGAACTAGAGGGCAGCCTTGGACACTGGTCCCCACCTTATTGGAGACAGGCTCTTTGGTTGTTTCCTGTGAACCGTATATCCAAAGCCGGCTTCCTGGCTTCCTTCAGGCGTCCCCATAGTCATCCCTTCATTTCCACCTCCCGTCTTGTCCTAGGAGTACTTGGGTTACAGACATGCTATACCATGCCTGGGTTTTACATGGGTCCTAGGGGATTCAAACTCAGGTGTCTCAGCAAGTGACTTAGACACTGAACCATCTCCCCAGCCCTTTTCTTCTGAAGCCCATTGACCTATGACCTCTGCCTCTGTTGGTACAGCTGTGTTTTCCTTTCACAAAACTTACTCATTTTCTACAATTCATGTGAATGCTTCAGGACTTACAATCTCCCATGAAACGATGGATCACAGAAAGATTAAGAATGCAGGCAAAAGTCACAGTTTCTGCCTACTCTGTTATGGTAGCCCCGCAGCAGTAAATACAACTGACATTTTTGCCATTTCAACGGTCACAGCTGCCTGCTGATGCCACTGAAAGGGAGATGGCTGAAGAAAATCGCCCTTTCCCAGGTGAGGGATTTAATTAAGCATCCTGGATGAAAGTCATTGTAGAAAAATCTTCTAAGCCCCAGCAGACTTTATCTAACCCCATAACCTAAGAAACAGCACATCGGTACCAAATGCAAAGGCTTTGCTGATGGTTTGATAGGGGCTATAAGCAGGGGATAGAGCGGGAGGCTGGGGAGGTGCCTTTCCTAAGGATAACAGAGGAGGATGCTTGCATTAAATTCCAGTATCAGAGACCAGCTAGAGGTGGACTCTTTAAAGTGTTCAGAAGTGGACAGTCCCAGAGCACCCACCCTGTGTTAACTAAACTATCGGCCAGAAAAAGGCACACACTGGAGCAGCAGGTACACTTTATGTGGAATGGCAGGTATACCCCTGACGGTGTGGTGAGGGTTCTGTCTTCCCCAAAAAGAGATCCTGACCAGGACCGATAAAGTGCTTGGTAAGTGAAGAATGCTTTATTCTTTGCTTTTTAAAAACATTCACGTCCTCACCCAACACATATCCACAGAGGGTAGATCCTGGAAGAGTTACTTCACTAGACTATTGCAAAATAAAACCCTTGCTTAGCACTTATATATATCCCCATGCAAAAGATGAGTTGCAAGCAAGTAAACAGAGAACAAACCATCTAACAACAATGTAAATGATCACACATAGTCTTAAAGTCTACGATGGGAATAAACAGGATATAACGGTGAGGCATAGGAGTTGATTCCTACGGAGGTTAGTAACACTACCTGTTCTTCTGGCACACATAGCTAATGTTGGTATCTCTTTCACTCACAGTGAAGACAACAGCTTTCTACATGTGACCTCAAAGTTGGTGGGATCTTCTCTGTTCACACCCTTTTCACACCACCACGCAATGAGAGCACCCTTTCCCATGGACCCTGAGCTCTGACTTTCTTTTTCAACACTGGGAGCCAGGAGGTAGGTCCGGATGGACATGCAATGTTAGGGGGTTAGTAGTGATCGAGGACAGATGAGGGCACCTTTAGAGTTCATCCTATAGGAGCACACTATGTATTAAGGGAGTCTGCATATTCACAGGGCAAGCAGCCCAGAAACACATCAATGGTTTATTTGATCTGACTTAACCTTTAATCTCAATGCAATCTAAATAGCCATGTGGAAGGAAGTGAGACCCACCCATCTGGTGCATTCAGAAGCTCCTACCAATTGGAGAGGAGATGATAAAAAGAAAAACACCCAAGTCACCCTTTTCTAGACAAGACTGACCACCTGACTTGAGGAGCAAGACTAAACTCTGGGATGATGGCTTCTGTGTCCACTCCCTGTGTCTGGCTAAAGATGAAATGGAAGACAAAAAGACATCCCATACCAATCCACTTTCTTTACCTGCTCTCCGGGTAAAGCGTGATTTAAAGATTTTGTGTCCCTACTTATTGGCTGATTCTCAGTGACAGGCGGCATAAGCTGCTTTAGTATTCCAGTTACAGGAAGACCACACTGTGGTATAGTCTGTTTTATTTAAAAATAAAAACGTGTTGGCCCAGTTTTGAGGTTCGGGCTAGCATTTGCCCAGTTCTCTTTATTAATAATAGTGCCTGGCTAACTCCCTACTCCAGCTACTTCCCTTCTGTGGGCTCTAATACCCAGCTTACTATATTACAGCTCTGATCTCTCACCCCCAGGGCAGTATCAGACAATGATAGGCAGTCTCTAAGCTCTGGAGCCTGACAAATTACAGGGAGCCCCAGGAAACCCCAAAACTTGGGGCATGTGAGCTAGCCGTGGTCTTGATTCCTGAGTATGGTCCTCCCTTGGTTTCCTTTGTTCACAGTTGTCCATTTTCGTTTCAAACCTCAACTCCGCTCTCTTCCTCCATGATGCTCATTGTGCTGCGTTCTGCCGTCAGGGAACTAAAACACTGCACCACACTGACGGGGGATGTCCTTCTGTATAAATGGTTCTCTTATTGGTTGGTGAGTAAAACACCGCTTGACCAACAGAGGCAGAAAGATAGGCCGGGCAAGGAGACAAGGAGAACGCTGGGGAGAGGGGCAGATAGGTGCTGCAAGGAAATGCCACGTAGAGACAGGGAGGATAGGATGTGCCAGGCATTCCCTGGTAAGACAAGGCCACATAGAAATACATAGATTAGCAGTTATTGGTTAATGATTAAGATAGAGCTAGCCAATAAGAAGCCCTAGGTAATGGCCAACAGTTTTATACCTAAAGTAGCATCCATGTGTTTATTTGGGGCCTAAACAGTGGTGGGATAAGAAATTCCAGTAACAAAATGGCGCCAACACTCGGGGAGAGATTTTTTACATAAAACCTGACAAGATCTTTTAAAGGGATTCTAAACAAAAGGATAGCCAACAACACCATACTACTCTACAGAGAGCCTTGCCACTAGTCTGGGGACAATGGAAGTCTAATGCTTGGAGTCTCCCTGAGGATGACCCCTGTTGACCAAAGTATATTGTGTGTAGAGCTATAGATGATGCTATCTGAGTATGGCTGGCTATGTGGAACCTTCTAGAAGCTATTATTGAAGATAGCTTAATGCTTCATGGATTAAAGTTCTTAGAGGTAGGTGGATTGATCTAAGGCCCCACTGTCAATCTCTCCCCATGGCTTGTATGGAGCAAAGGTTCTTTGTAGTGCAGACATTCTCATTTCCTAGTGATGCCACTG